TTTCTTTCTCGGTGCCAAGTTTCTTCTGACTGTCCATAGGAGTATCAACTGGTTTGCATCCAAGCATTCCAGTCTCCTTAAGAAGATCTAGAATATATTTCCTTTGAGAAACAACAATGCCCTTCCTTGATCTAGCCACTTCCATTCCAAGGAAATATTTAAGATTTCCAAGATCTTTAACTTCAAACTCTTCTGACAAATACTTCTTCAAATTCTGTAATTCCTTCACATCATTCCCAGATAGAATAATATCATCGACATAGACTATCAATATAGCAATTTTTACGTGCGTGAGATTTCTTGACAAACAGAGTATGATCAGCCTGACCCTGTATGTTGCCATACTTCGTTCGAAACCATGTGGGATTTCCATGTAGACTTCCTCTTCAAGGTCACCATTTAGAAAAGCATTTTTTATGTCTTGTTGTTGCAAGCACCAATCTTGGTTGACAGCCAATGAGAGAAGAATTCTGATAGTGTTAAGTTTTGCGACATGAGCAAACGTTTCTTGATAGTCTATCCCATAGGATTGTGTAAATCCTCTAGCTACCAACCGAGCCTTGAATCTCTCAACTGATCCATCAGCTTTGTACTTTATAGTGAAAATCCACTTGCACCCCACGGGCCTTTTCCCAACTGGCAAATCAGTAATAGTCCATGTTCTATTCTTCTCAAGAGCATCAATCTCATCTTGTACTACCTTCTTCCACTCTAAATTTTGTAATGCCTCTTGTATAGTGCTGGGTACCTGAATATCATCAAGAAAAGTAGAAAATGCTCTGTAAGATGGTGATAACCCTTTATAAGTAACATAATTCCTAATTGGATGACCTGTACATCTCCTAACACCCTTCCTCAATGCAATCGATATGGTAGAGTCATCAATGCTGGGAATTGGCACATCTTCAGCCCTATCCGTACCTGTGTTTTCTTCAGGTGGACTTGAAATTGGGTCAATATCTTGGCCACATGTTGGCTGTGATCCGTGCTCTAGCTCCTGTCTTTTCCTCCTCCTAATGTAGACTTGAAAATTCTCATTAGGAAGTTGTGGAGCCACAGATTGAGCAGGAACAGGAGACTGGATAGGCACGGGAGAAGACACATTTGTGGGCTGGACTGATGACTGAACAGGCACGGATGTGGACAAGTCTTGTGTACGGTCAGTGGGCACAAGCACGGGTTGAGGAGAACTTGGTGACTCAGAGTGGCCAACGGGTACATACTCAAGAAGGGACTCCCAAACTTGATGTTCATTCATGCTCTCCCCTTGAACATGAGATTTAGGGTAGAAGAACACATGTTCAAAGAAAGAGACATCCATGGTAGTGTAAAATCTTTTGGTGGTTGGAGAGTAACATTTGTACCCTTTTTGAGTTGGAGAGTACCATAGGAAAATGCACTTATTGGCTCTAGGATCAAATTTGCTACGGTGTTGGGGATACACATGAACAAATGCCATGCAACCAAATACCTTGAGGGGTAAATCAGATGAATCTGCACGGGTGTGAGGAAAATCTTTTAGAAGAAGCTGACGTGGAGTTTGAAAAGTAAGGACTCTGGATGGCATACGATTGATCAAATAGGTAGCTGTGAGAATTGCTTCCCCCCAGAAATAATTTGGAGCATTAGAGGAAAACATAAGACACCGGGCAACCTCCAAGAGATGTCTATTCTTGCATTCAGCCACCCCATTTTGTTGAGGGGTGTCAACACAAGAACTTATGTGGATTATCCCGTGGTTCTGAAGGTAGGTATTGAGACTACTAGTGAAGTATTCCTTAGCATTGTCTGACTTGAGTACCTGAATTCTAGAGTTAAATTGATTTTGAACCATAAGATTAAAGGTTTGAAAAATTTGCCCGACCTCTGACTTTTCTTTCATAAGGAAAACCCAAGTTACCCGTGTATGATCATCAACGAATGTCACAAACCATCAAGTGCCAGAAACATTTTTTATCCGTGAGGGACCCCACACATCACTATGGATCAAAGAAAAAACAATTGAAGGTTTGTATGGAATTTGAGGATATATTGTTCGAGTATGCTTTGCAATCTGACAGATTTCACAATGAAAAGATGCTGGACTTTTATTGATAAATAATTTGGGAAACAATTTTGCAAGATACACAAAACTAGGATGACCAAGACGATAGTGTAACAATATAATTTCACTATCTTTATTGACATTGGAATTGGACACAGAATTGAAAGACTCTAACAGACTCTGAGACTGGACACAACTTGCTTGAGAAACTTGGTTTAAGGATCGGCCACATGAGAGGGAGATAGAGCCCGGAGCACAGTTCAGCATTGCCAATCATCTTCCCTGATTTCAAGTCCTGAAAAATACACAAGTTTGGATAAAACTTAGTAAAACAGTGAAGGTCACGAGACACTTTGCTAATAGACAAAAGATTACAATCCAAGTTTGGAACATGGAGGACAGAGTCGAGATACAACTCTTTAGTAAGTTGGATGGAACCTGTCCCAACAATTTTTGAATTTGAACCATCAGCAATACGAACGGACGGGTAGCCACTACTTGGCTTGTAATTTTGGAGAAGAGTAGCATCTCCTGTCATGTGATCAAAAGCACTAGTGTCGACTATCCATGGCCTCATTCCTCCTCTGTTAGCAATGAAGGCTGTATGTGAATCCTTTTGAGCAATCAAACCAGTCCCGGAAATGCTACCACTGCCAACTTGACTAAACAGTTTCTGCAGCAAATCCATCTGATCTTTGCTGAATGGGCTAGGCTCGGGAACAGGAGCACTATCAGAGTTGGAAGCCACATATGCTTTGCTGTCTCTATCAAACCGTGGCTTTGGTTTCCAATCAGCTGGTTTGCCATGAAGCTTCCAGCAAGTCTCCTTGTAATGGCCTAGTTTCTTACAGTAATCACACCAAGGCCTTTCCCGTTTCTGACGATCTCCACCATTACTGTTAGATGGTCAGACAACAAGGGCAGATGCATCCAACGTTGAGGCAGGTTGTTTCTTAGATCCCATCATCACTTTCTTTCTACTTTCTTCACGCCTAACCTCTGAGAAAGCCTCCCTGAGACTGGGCAGTTGTTTAGTGCCCATGATTCGACCTCGAACATCATCCAACTCCCTATTAAGTCCTAAGAAAAATTTAAACAGCCGTTTTTGTTCCACAATCTGTTTGTACGTGGCTGCATCTTCCTGACATTTCCATGAGTGAATCTCGAATAAGTCAAGTTGTTGCCAATACCATGTGAGTGTGTTGTAATACTGAGTAACAGACTGCTCTCCTTGGCGGAAGTCATGAAGCACTGATTCAACCTGAAACAGCTCTGAAGTATTTTCAGAGCTGGAGTAGGTCTCTTTGGCTGCATCCCATATTTCTTTTGCAGTCTCAAACAGCAAGAAATTTTCGCCTATGTCATTGTTCATGGAGTTGATAAGCCATGACATGATCATACTATTTTCAATCTTCCACTTTCTAAAACCCGGATTTGTAGTCTCTGGCATGGCTGCTGCTCTCGTGAGATACTCATCCTTTCCCTTACCACAAATGAACAGCAAAACAGATTGTGACCACTGCAAATAATTATGGCCATTTAATTTGTGTCCAGTAATGAGAATAGGATGAGAATCACTGCCACCAAGGTTTGGAATTTCTGAATTTCCTCTGATTCTAGTGCCGTGATGCTGGATGTTTGTGATGAGGCCATTCCGTATTTTGTCATGCTCCAAATATTGCGAAGAAGAAGATGAGGGAGAAGAACGAATAAGGTTGCTGGAAATATAAAAGACAAAAGCCGGGAGAACAGGCCTGAGAACAGAGAAGGGATGGCCGGAAGGAATGATGGCCGGAGAGAGGCGACCTGAAGGGATTAGATGGCCGGAAGGAATGATGGCCAAAGAGAGGCGGCCTGAAGGGATTAGGGTTCAGAGAAACGGCTCTGATACCATGAAGAAATTCTGAATTTCTTATTGAATAAAACTCGGGACTACAACTACATATATATACAAACAATATCTAATAAAGGAAATAACTAACTAGCTTAATTCTTTCTTAAAAAACAAGAAACAGAATCATAGGAGAAGATCACAACCGATCTCTCCTTTTATTCCTAAATACTTTCCTAAAATAAAATCCCTAACTTTGACTTCTGAATATTCAACAAGACTACTCCAAATCTCAAAGGCGGTGTTGCAGCTCACTATTTGAGCTACTCGATTCTCAGTAAGAGATGAGTAGAGCCAACTCATAATCAACCGATTTGTGCGCTGCCAGAAGGTATATTTGGGGTTCAGCTGTTGTCGCTGTAGATCAGGAAATTTAGGAGGACATGGGAGAGACCCATCGATGTATTCTTCCAATCCATTTGCAATGATTATATTGAGCAATTGGTTCTTCCAGAGGAGATAATTATCTCGGTCAAGTTTCATGGTTAGGTTCTGATTGAAATTGGGTAATGGTGGTTGAATGAACTGAGCAGGGGCATTATTGAGGGTTTGTGCTTGAGGTTGGGAGTGAGTGTTTGGGTTCATAGGAGTTTGAATCTGGGTGTTTGCTGTAGAAGAATTTGGTTTCTCCATTAGGATCCTAGGGACCTCTGGGTCTTGATGCTGATACCAAATCAGATTTTAGAAGGTTTTTCAGAGAGTTTTTTTCAGAGAGAAGAAGAGGCAAACGGTGGAGGAAGAAATGCTCAGTCCACTAAGTATCTTTACTGAAAAAAATAGTTTGTATACAATGAGGGCCAGCACTAACCTATACACGTGTGAAGAATCAGCAATATAACAGTACAAATGACAATTGGAGAGAATAACTAACTTATCAGAGGAAAATAAAGCTAGGCTATAATGTTGTACTAAGTAAAACAATTATACACCCTCAAATGTTCTAACAGTTGCTAACCTTTTGAAAATTGCAAATACCTTGATTTGACTGTTGGGAACGTTAATACAGCTTCTATCATGCCCTTCTCATATCTTAACGTTTATTTCCCTTCCTATAACCGACTGCAGATTCTGCCAGATATGATGAAGAGCTCGTCCACATTGTTCCACAATGTCCGTACATCCATACCGGCATATATGGATTTGGAGCCCTTCCAAAAAGCAGCTTACCATGGCAAGGTTAAAGATGTTTCAGATATTACTCACGAGTTGCGATTGATTAAGTCTCCTGCAGAACTTAAGTTAATGAGAGAATCCGCCGCAATTGGTTGCCAGGTATCTACAAGTTGAAATATGCTCTCAAAGTTTATTCTGGAGTGCTACTACACTTCACTGATTGGTGTTATCATGTACGCTGGGATTGGATAGGCGCTTTTGCAGACAATGCTTCACTCAAAGACGTATCCTTATGAGGCTATTCTATCAGCAAAAGTTGAATACGAATGCAAAATTAGAGGTGCTCAGAGAATGGCGTAAGTAATTATTTTATTATTGGATCTTGAAAACCACATTTTTTTTTTCATTAGTTCTATTCTTTTCCATTGCCAGGTTTAACCCAGTAGTTGGTGGTGGGTCCAATGGAAGTGTTGTACATTATTCTCGAAATGATCAGAAAGTGGGTTCAAACAACATGCTCTCTATTCTTCACCCGTTCACGGCACCATAAGCAAATATAATCTTCTTTGATTACGCAGATAGTTCGTGGTTCAACACTTATATTACACTTGTGCAGATTAAAGATGGGGATCTTGTTTTGATGGATATTGGATGTGAGTTGCACGGTTATGTTAGTGATCTTACTCGAACATGGCCACCCTGTGGTAGCTTTTCTTCTCCTCAAGTATGGACATCCGAAGTCTTCGAGTTTTTTAAAGCTTTTAGTTTATGTTACGCTACTATTTATGCGAATACTCCCAGATAACCTGTGGAAATCGGTAGGTCAATTAAGAATACCTAGCCGCCAATCTCACATTATAATCAGAGGTAATAAGCCCCTTTTATATACAATTAGGTTACAATCAGTTAGAGAAAGAAAAGGAAACTAACTCTTAATTTACAGCTAGCTACAAATCAGCAACTAATCTACCATACCGAGATTACATATATTTCCGAAAATAGAATTTCCTAAACAGTAGGAAATAACACGTTTTTCAACACTCCCCCTCAAGTTGGAGCATGAATATCAATCATGTCCAACTTGGATAAATGTTCCTCGAACCTAACCCGTGGATACATACGAGCCCTTCTTCGACCTTCTCTATGATAAAATGTCTATCCACTTCCACATGCTAGTATGGTCATGGTGGATTGGATTGTGAGCAATATTGATTGCTGACTTGTTGTCACAATACAACAACATGGGATTCTCACTTTGAAGTGATAGCTCATTCATGGTTCTTTTTAACCATAGAAGTTCACATATTCCTTGTGCAAGAGCTCGAAGTTCGGCTTCAGCACTACTCCTTGCAACCACTGGTTGTTTTTTGCTTTTCCAGGTCACTAGATTGCCCCATATAAATGTGCAGTACCCAGTGGTAGACCTTTTATCATTGGCTGATCCAGCCCAATCTGCATCAGTAAATGCCTCGATCTTCCTTGAATCATTCTTTTTGAAAAACAACCCCTTTCCTGGGGTTCCTTTGAGATATCTCAGAATGCGATGAACTGCTCCAAGATGTTCTTCATATGGCTCGTGCATAATTTGGCTGACCACACTTACAGCATAGGCAATATCAGGCCGTGTATGGGATAGATAGATTAGACGCCCAACCAACCTCGGGTATCTCCTTTTATCGACAGGCACCTCTCCTTTCTTATATCCCAACTTGTGGTTCTCTTCAATAGGTGTATCTGTTGGTTTTACTCCCCAGAAAACCCGTCTCTCTGAGCAAATCAACAGTATATTTTCTTTGTGAAACATAAATTCCTTTCTTTGATCTTGCGACTTCCATACCGAGAAAGTACCTCATGGGTCCAAGGTCCTTGATTTCAAACTCTTTGGCTAGAACCTGCTTCACTCTTTCTCCTTCGGTTGTGTCATCTCCAGTAAGAAGGATATCATCAACGTACTGATAAGCCACCGATTCGTTTTACATATGCCAGACGTGCTAAGCACGTGTCTTAGCTGAGGTGGCCTTGTGCTGAGGTCATAAAGAGGTGGGAGAGCAGTGTGTGCTGGCATGATTAATTGAATTAGTTAATTGTGCATGAAAAAGAATGCAGTTAGGCAAGTTGTTACCTATTTAGTGGGTGGGGCATGTGTGAGGGGGGGTATCTTGGCATTTTTAGAGTGGACTTGGGAGAGAGCTGGTCCTCTCGAAAGACCAGTACTATCTTGTATTCCCCTTTTCGCTATCAATAAAACTTTATTCCATATTTTTCTTCCTTCCTGTACTTGGGCTCTATCAATTTGGTATCAGAGCACCCGATCTTTCTTTTCATGGCTAAGCAACTGGAACCCCGCATTACCGCGATGGAGGAACAGGTTGGATCCCTTTGTTCCGATATGCAGCATCTAGGCCCAATGGAGCAACATCTTGCCATGGTTATGGATAAGCTTTCCATCCTCGATCGGGTGGATAAGGCTCTTCAGCGTTTGGAGTCCCCGCGTGTCGCTGGTAATCTGTCGTCCTTGGAGGAGTCCAATGGGGTGGCCCGACCGGGAGGTGCTTCGGGAGACAAAGGGAAGTCGGTGATGTCCTCGGATATTCCAGATCTTGAGCTTGGGAAGGCGGACGAGTTTCGGGAGTCTCTGATTCGCGGCGATCTGGGAGTGCGCCGGTTGGAGATGTCGTTGTTCGAGGGTGACAATCCCGAGGGTTGGCTTTTTCGGGTGGAACGTTACTTCTCGGTGAATCGTTTGACAGAGGAGGTTGAGTGCTGCTGCGATTTGTTTCGAAGGGGAAGCTCTGGCTTGGTTCCAATGGGAGGATGGCAGGAACCCTGTTCGTTCTTGGTTGGAGCTCAAACGCAAACTCCTCGATCGATTCTGATCTTCCCAAGAAGGGTCAGCTCTTGACAAATTCCTGGCTATTCAACAGAAGGGAACCGTGTGAGACTATCGCCGACTCTTCGAGGCATTGGCGGCTCAGGTGGTCGACGTCCCTACTCACGTGCTGGAGAGCACGTTCATCAACAGATTACGGCCAGAGATTCGGGCGGAGGTACGCATGTATCACCCGGAGTCCCTCGACCGACTGATGACCCGAGCTCAGCTAGTGGAGGAGCGCAATAACATGTTGATGGCCCACCGCCAGGGCCCATCGGGAATTGGGCCTCAGGGCGCACCTCAAGCCCAACAGCCCAGTGGAGCGAGCGGAGGGCCCGATCCCTCTAAACACGTCAGGTTTTCCATTCCTTCGAATTCTCATAGTCTTACCCAGCTCCCTTCATTCCAAAAATTCCAGGCGCCGTCGGCAAATCACTCCGCTCCTTCGAAACCGCCAGCCGTCCGTCAAATGTCTGACGCCGAGCTCTTACAGCGCCGCGCGAAAAGGCTGTGTTTCCGTTGTGACGAGAAATTTTTTGTGGGGCATTGTTGCAAGAATCGCGAGTTACATGTCTTGATGGTGGACGATGATTTCGATGCTGTTGAGCCACCACCTCGGGAGGACGATGCGGAGGGCCTTACCGAGCAGGGGCCTTACCGAGCAGGCCGTCACGGAGGTTGTGGAATTGTCCATCAATTCCGTGGTGAGTCTTGCCGACCCGCGTATGATGAAGGTAAAAGGGTCTATTGCCAAGCAGGAGGTCGTGGTGTTGATTGACTGTGGCGCATCCAACAACTTCATTTCCACGGTAGTAGTAGAGAAACTTGGGCTGTCGTGCTCGGATACCGCTGGGTACGGGGTGTTGATGGGCACAAGGATCACTGTCAAGGGCGCTGGTGTGTGTAAGGGGGTGGTCCTGACGTTGCCTTGTGTCGAGATCGTTGAAGACTTCTTGCCTTTGGAATTGGGGAGCGCAGACGTTATCCTTGGGATGAAATGGTTGGCTTCGTGTGGTATGCATGTCGATTGGAAGGCCTTAACCATGCATTTCCGGGTTGGCGGAACGGGCGTGACTTTGAAGGGGGATCCGACCTTGTGTACTTCACGGGTGTCTTTGAAAACCATGATCTCGACTCTCAAGGACGATGGGGATGGATACTTGGTCGAGTTGAGCCATCTTGCAGCGGTCACGCCGAAGGCAGAAGAGTCTATTCCCACGGCAGTTCAACTTGTTTTGGATCAATTTTCATAGGTGTTTGCTTGGGAGGACGGCTTGCCCCTAACTCGGTCTAGGGATCATGCCATCGTGCTCAAGTCCGGTTCGGAGCCCGTTAATGTCCGGCCATTCCATTATCCACAGTTGCAGAAGGAGGAGATTGAGAGGCTGGTGCGAGACATGCTCACGGCAGGAATCATCCAACCGAGTGTGAGTCCCTTTTCGAGCCCAGTTCTTCTGGTACGTAAAAAAGACAATAGCTGGAGGTTCTGTGTGGATTATCGTTCCTTGAATAAGGCTACGATCGCCGACAAGTTTCCAATACCCGTGATCGATGAATTGCATGGGGCCAAGGTGTTCTCCAAGCTGGATCTTAAGTCCGGTTATCATCAAATCCGGGTGAAATTAGAGGACGTGCACAAGACAGCATTCCGCACGCACACGGGTCACTACGAATTCCTGGTGATGCCCTTTGGGCTCACTAATGCACCGGCTACATTTCAGGTGCTCATGAACGACCTTTTCCGGGATATCCTCAGCAAATTCGTCTTGGTTTTCTTTGACGACATTTGGTGTACAGCCGGAGCTTTGAGGACCACTGTGAGCACCTCCGGCAAGTGCTGCAAATTCTGTCCTCTCACCGCCTATTCGCTAACCGGAAGAAATGTGTGTTCGGCCAGGAAAAATTGGAGTATCTCGGTCACATTGTGTCCCGAGATGGGGTGGCAGCCGATGAGGCTAAAGTGGCAACTATGACGAACTGGCCACGACCTCGCTCTCTCAAAGAGCTACGGGGTTTCTTGGGGCTTACCGGGTACTACAGATGTTTTGTGGAAGGGTATGGTCGGCTGGCTTGGCCCTTAACTGATCAATTAAAAAAAGACAATTTTCAATGGTCCGACAAGGCGGAGGCCGCCTTCCAAGCATTGAAGGACGCTATGGTAACGGTTCCGGTATTGGCTCTTCCGGATTTCTCGGCCCCCTTTGTGGTGGAAACGGACGCGTCGGGACATGGGGTTGGGGCGGTGTTGATGCAACGACAATGCCCAATTGCTTACTTCAACCGGGTGTTGCCTGAGCGCACACGGACGAAATCTGTCTATGAGAGGGAGCTCATGGCTGTGGTTTGGGCGCTGCAAAAATGGAGGCATTACTTGCTTGGCTGCCACTTTGTTGTACGCACCGATCAATGGAGTTTGAAGTTTCTGTTAGAGGAGCGAAAGGTTAGTCCGGAGCACCAACGCTGGCTGACCAAGTTGATGGGATTCGACTTCGAGATTCAATACAAGCCGGGGCTGGAAAACAGGGCAGCTGATGCCTTGTCACGGGTGGTTTCAGGGGCGGCCCTCCTGGCGCTAACAGTGCCTCGGGTAGTGGAGTTTGATGACCTAGAACAACACATGGCACAGGATGACGAGCTCCGGGGAATAGTGGAGACCTCGCTTCGGGATCCAACTTCGAAACCAGGATACTCCCTTGTCCAGGGGCGGCTCATATACAAGCAACGTTTGGTCATTCCTAAGCTGTCTTCACTTGTGGGGGCCCTGCTGAAAGAATATCACGATGGCAATTTGGGGGGACACTTAGGTTTTTTGAAGACTTGGAAGCGGTTGGCGGCGCACTTTTATTGGGAGG